ACATCACCAAATTCATCAGTGACTCAAAAATGACTGATGTTGAAGGAACATTCCAGCCATTCAGCTCATTTACGGGACGGACACATGCATTGCTTCATTACCCATGATGTTAGCATTACAAGTCTATTCCTCTCCCAGAAGACTTGTTTTTTTTAAGGTACTGTAGATTTCTTGTTGGTTTTTTTGAAAAGGAAAATCGCCAAAGTCAATGACAGTTATCGAAAGCAGCTCCACCAAATACTCTTTTCTGTGTCTAATGGAATAATGGTCATAGAAATCCTAAATGTGTAGGCTAACTTTGCAGCAGCAGCTAGCTGGTAAAGTAAGAGCTTTTGGTAGCGCTGACCCAAATATCCCTAAGCTTGGAAGCTTCTATTGCCACGGTAACTCACAGTGAATTCGTAGATAAATTGCTGCGTCTTTCACAATCGTTATTTGCGTAAGCTTTAATTGTTATTTGCATTCTCAGATGGAGTTTTGTGCGTCACAGCTCTTATTTGAGATTTCCAGCGTTGACATTGGAACAGGCATACATGGCCATGTGACTGACTACGACGTAAGAACCTAAGCTAGCAAGACGTCAAAAAAGGTCAAACGTTTGAAGTGACTTTTAAAATTAGGAAGAGGACCCCTCACAAGTCAAGTCTCGGATATGCCAAAGATAAATTGGTTTATCAGTTTGGAAAATCACATGAAAACTAGAACAGCTTTGCCGTCTTGTAACTGTGACAAGTTTCCTTTAACTAATGTGGCTGACGTTAATACAACCTGCATGCTAACAAAGTAAAACATTAAAGTTTGATTTTTTCCTCGTCCCTTCTTTTGAGGATTCACTGATCATTCTATTCATTCAAAGCCCCATGTTTTTTGGGACAGTACTAGCTTTGTGTCATTTAGGCTTAAATGCAACACCCACAGAATGAAGTGCAATGCTGTGCAATGCTGGCACTGTTTCCTGCTGTAGGGCCAGAAAGAAACTCACTACGCTAACGTGATTAAAGTAATATTAGTGTTTAGTTGGCACAAACACGCTGGCTCAAGCATCAATTATCATGTCAATCCTTCCCTGACGTTCATATAAAGATGAATTTGGGTGAGTCACAGTGCGAGTGGAGAAAAGACACAAATGAATAGCAGACAGAGCACTGGACGAGCTGCGGCTGTGAGATGGATATTTACTTTGACATTTAAACTAAGGTAAATAACTGTCTGCATCGAGCGACTTTTGCCAGGGCTGACACCCAGTGTGGGAAACCAGGTCTGCTATTTCTATGTTCGTGTCTCCCTCTTCTCTAAATACACAGCATGTGCATTTTCTTCCCTCCACCTCTTGCCTTCTCTTTGCTCCCCTGAAAGTCTCTGATGAACATCAACACACAGGAGGAAGCCAAGATCTGCATAATCCAAGTGAGCACAGTTTTCTACTGTAGAAAGTAAATAAAAAAAGGCTGAAGTGTTTTACATTTCACAGATATGTAGGTGTGATGATCTTTAGTTAGGTGTTGGGTAATGTCTACCACTTATATTTGCATTTAAGATTCATTAAATGTCAAAATTTCTGCTGAGGAAATAGAGCTTCTATTCCCATTTTTTCCTTTTGTCTTTTCCATTTCCCCTCTTCCTCCCCTCTTCCTATTCCCATGGCTGTTGCTTACTTCCCTCAGATCTCCCTCTCTCTCCTTAATGTGCTTTTTGTGTGAGTGGAAAACAGAGCAGTCATTCGCCTCCGCGAGGCCATCAAACATTTACGTCATGTGGTGCTTTGGAGTGCAAAAGAAGGGAAAGAGACACACAGGAGGAAAGAGAAAGGGATGCCTGCAAGAGAAAGAGGAAATAAGACAGACATACAAAGAAGGGAAGAGACAGAAAGAGTGAAAGTTGGGGAAAGACAACCACAGAGACAAAGAGAGTGTAAAACACAAAGGCAGGCAGACGAGCAGCTGAACAGCTCCGACAGAAGAATCATTGTCTGAGTGCCAGTGGGTCAGGAGTTCACCAGTGACTGGTCCACAGCAGAGCCAAATAATGCTACCGTGAGTAATAACAAGTTTGGTATTTAGACTCGGGTTTGGAAAACTTGCTGCATGTTCTGGATTCAGGATTGGCGACAGATTTTCATTTGGAAATCCAGACAGAAAAAAGAAAGTCCAGGCCTTGAACAGACAGAAAGATGGAGAGAAAGCAAAAGGTGGAACATTAGTCTGTCAGGTTAGATCATCTTCATCATATTTAATGGAGAGAGTACATCTGTCTGTGTTCACTTACATTTAAACAATTCTCATTTGAGTCAAGATAAATAAAAATACAGATTATTGAATATATGATATGATTGTTCTTATCCAGTGGTTCCTATGGTTCTAAAGGTTCCATAACATGAATGAGAGCATAGACAAGATGTCTTCTGTACACTTTGTTACTGACCTTGTCTGATTTTTCTACAGTTAAATGATTTTTCTTGTAAAATGATAATTGTTCTATTCAAACAATTCATGACAAATGAGCTGACTCCATAAGGAGGTTAAGAGGTCATTCAATTAAGATTGTATCATAAAAATCAATTGAAGCCTCTTTGAATACAGTGGATTTAAATACTGCAGCAATCATTGATATGGTGTCAAAGCTAAATCCTTGTAAATGACTTTAAACCTAAATTAAAATATTCTTTTGGTACTGAGAATAAGTGAGAATAAGTGCAATATATTAAGAAAAAGTAACCAATATTTGGTATTGTACCCCGCCCCCATCCAAAACTTATAAATGAGCATCTTTGCCGAAGGTTCAGCTCAGATGAACAGACAATTAGGACAGAAAAAAGTGGTGATACCCTGAATATTCCCAGGAAATGTGATTTTTGAGGCAAAAGGGTTAATAATATTTCTGGGCAGTATAGTGTAGCCCATTTACTGACATAAAAGAAAAAGAGCGCAGGGATTCATCTTCTAATCCTTCTGATTAATCATCTTTATTAACAAGATGGATCTCAAAACATCTTGCCAAAGGTCTGCAGTTGAATTATAGCCGGCTGCCTATAACATGTGGTACATGTGGTACATTGAGGGATTGTTGATTCATTGCCCATTGTCCTTATAAATAAAACCTGGCCTAACATATAATGTTTCCCTAATAAAACTACTAAAACACCTGATCCTGGTGCCATTATTCTCCCCGGCCTAAATGTCACGGCTCCCCTCAGGCTGCTGATGTTTCCCTCTGAGCTCTTTACCTTTATTTGCTCTCTTTAGCTTTTTACCTGTCACTCCTAGAATATTACAGTCAGTGAGCAGCGAGACCTCAGTGCCTCGTTCAAGGACACTTTATCCTGAACGTGGCCGTTAATGGGCTGGACTGGTAGTTAATGGCTATAATGGGTGTGGCCACGTCCCCTGGTTTAAGCCCTTGTGAACCAAACAAGGCAGAGCTCACAACACTGAGATTTTTAAGGATTTCTCAATCACGCAATATCCCTTTTTCTATCCGGCGCCCACCCAACCCCCACAAATCCCCCTCTGTATATGCTCAGAAATAGGCTATACAATGAGATAAGCAAGACATGAGTCCCCATTCCGAGAGGAGAGAGAATAAACAGCTATTACAAATGCAATATGTGCAGCCAAGAACCTCAATACGTGCAAATACAAACCTCGACATTTGCATTAACACACAGACAAAAGAAACAAGCACATATCTCTTTGCTGTCACGGCAGCTTCCTGTTACAGATTCATATCTGAGCTCATTTCCTTTTCCTCCCGTCTAACAACAGAGCGTAATGTTTCTGACCTGCCCCTTGTGACGAGCCTGATATATCATGTTACCACTAACTTGTGTATACACTGTGTGCATTAGCGGGCAAATGCTAATTCCTTCTTTTATACAGACGGTGGTTTTCGCCTTCACAAGCCTCACGGAATAATGAGCACAACAACATCCCCTGTCTGCCACTGCCTGCCTAATGTGAGCACATTTTACTGCTGCTTTTATGAGGGACAAGAGTCACCTTGAAGCTTTTGTAGTCAAATCACAGCAGCAGCTCTTTCCCCTCGCCTCTAATCCATACATTGCATAACATAGCAATCCCTCCCTTCCCGGCGGGTATAGAGCCTAAAATAATGAGGTAGACTCAGGATAAATTATTAATTTAATATTGAGGTTTTTATTGAGGATAAAAAGTGAATATATGAATTTTTGACGTTATGACCTTGTTTAATTGAGAAAAGCCAGATTTACAGAGCGTTTACCAAAGTTGCATTATGTATTGAGCGATTTTTGTTGAGTGTTACGTAGACATCCATTTCTTTCACTGGGCCTGTGAACCAGAAAAGGTTAAGAACCACCAGTCTTACATAATGCACCTAACATCACTGCAGCCATCCAAAACAAGGACTGATCCCCACACACACGCACACACACACACACACACTCACATCACCCAGGTACAGGGCAGACATGCACTACATCAAAATGGAGGACGGGGCAGACTGCTGAATATGATGTTATGCTATTATGTAATCGTCTAACCCAGTGACAAATCACCAGGCAGCAGCCCCATCATACATTTTTGACCCCACTCACCAGGAGAAAACTCACGCCTCCCACTTTTCTTTCTCCTCATTTTTTTGTCATCCGTCTCATTTCCTCCACCTGTAAGTTATTTTTTCCTCACTCCCCTCATTTGCTTGTCTCTCTATCACGTCTCTATCTCTTCTCAGACGTGACTCTGTCCCATCTCCCAGCTCTCACTCTTTCTTTTCTCCAACCATTCACTCTTCCTTGCTGTCACCCTTAATACCCCCCCGCTCCCAATTCCCAGACAGTTTAACCCCATTATGTCTCAGCTGTTTCCCATTTCCATCCACATCCTTTCACTCTCAAGCTTATCTTCCATTACTTTCGTCCGTTGTCATAATCTTGCATGCACTTCCTCTGCACATCTCAAACCTATTTTCCACTGCTCCCCCTATTTTTCAATGACCCCCACCTCCACCTCGACCCTAGGCCTTACCAGGTATGAGCCACGGTGAAGCGTCGCCTCTGTCGGATGCTCTTGTTGACCATGAGTTTCCGAAAGAGCCGAGGGGAGCTTCTCGGAGACAGCTTCGGGGACGTGGCGCCCCTCTTCCCTCCCATCACGCCTGGCATCTTGGGAGGCTCCAGCTCCAGGTGCATGTGCTCCTTGAACGTCCGGATGCAGGAGTCCATCTCGACGCTCAGCTCGTTGGACGACATCCCCACAGGACGTGAGTTCAGCTCTGTGAGGCAGACTTAATTTCTCTGTCAAATTCTGCCCAAATTCAGGCCCACCAGTCCGTCATGCACAGCTAAATCTGTTCTTCTCTTGCCTTGTCCAGAAACAGAGAGGAAGTTGTGGAGGTAAAACTGAGGCTACCTCACACACAAATGAACCCAGGCCAGATCACACATACCTTTTCGTTGTTCGGGTATACCCTCCGTCTTCCCCCTTACCCCCCGTTCTTCAGGGGTTTAGGGATTATCCAGCCAGCAGTCGTGCCCTCTTCCTCTCTTTTCTTTCGGCTCATACACCGTGATTTCTCTTGAGGGAGCTTTACCCACAGCAGGGTCACGCTCAGCTCCTTCCAAGAGAGGAGAATTCCTCTTTTCAACACTGCTCCTCTTCCATCTCCCTCCTGGTTCTGGTGTCTGTTAGGTGCACACCCCTGCAGCGCTCTATCCCTCCCCTTGTCCCTGTGTCCCTCTGTCTCTCGGACACAGCTGATGCCTGCTGAATGCACACCCCAGTACCAGCTCTTCAGCCTCAGTCCATCAAGGCAGCTTGATGTTGGAGGATCTCCCTAATGAAAGATTCAGAAGGGCTGAAAACTGCTCTCTGCCTGCTCCTGTCTTGCTTTCTCTCCATCCATCACTGCTTGACTGAACCTCCTCTCTCTGCAAACACCCCCCCCAGGCACTCCCGGTGTGGCAGAGAGGGACTCCCACTATGCTGAGCCTCCAGTCAGATTCCCCTTCACTTGCAGAGTGAGAGCAGCGAGTGGAGCACAGCAGAGTGCAGCGCAGCGTGCGAGGCAAATGCTTCACTTGCTGTTTCATTCAGAATATACACAAGGAGCTGAGAGCAGGCACGCAGTGAGCTCAAGCCACGCCTCCCCTGTCGAGGATTGGCCGGTGGCCGTGGTGACGACAGGCAGGCAGGCCCGGTAACAGGTTGTCAGATTCATTATTTATTTTTTGTTTAGCCGGGATTTGTGGTAATGTTGCTGATGATGTTGTGACCTTTAGTGAGGCAGGAGACTGGTGAGTGCTGGCCAAGAAAAAAAAAAAGGCAATTTGGAGAGGAGATAAAAAGCAAACAGCTTAATGGGCAGAAACAGACACCGCTTAAAGGTCAACTGATACAAATAAACACGCAAGCATGCAAATGTGCCAGTACATAAAAACATATGTACTTACTACACAAAGTTTATTAGATTAGAATCTAACCTACAACCCCCCGTTGCACACACTCAAACTTTTATTCATCCATAATTCTGTCTGAATAGAAAGAATCCAACCATGAGATTGGACGGACACACACACACACACACACACACACACACACACACACACCTTTCCTGAGGGATGAAAGACACAGAGAGAGGGGAAATCTATCGAAGGTCGAGAGACTGCGAAGAAAAATCTCAAAAGGAACATCAGAAGATGCAGAATGGCAGCGTGACGAGTATTGGAAATGTGAGCACTTGCTCGTCTGCTCTGGGGACTGATTTGTTTTGGTTGTGAGTCACTGACGATTGTAAGACATCGAAGCTTGCAGCTCCTCCTCGCTTGCATGCTCGCCAATAAACCCATTGAAAATAGTCTTTTCAGAGCGTGTATATAAAAGGAGAAAACACTTGTAGTAAGACGAGGCATCAGGAGGAGTGAGACGGGCTCGAGCACGTTGTTGGTGGTTTAGAATCAGTCAGTGATGCGTGGCATTCCCTGGCTCTTCTCCACCCTGTCTATCCTAGTTTAGCACAAATAATTAAAGTTTCACTGGCAGACAAAGCACTGGACATTGAGGTAAAAAATATAACTGACTTGTCTAAGCTGCTTTTAGAGATGCACTGAGCTGTGGACTGCCAGCCCCCTGATAAAATGTCCAAGTGAGCCCACCTGAGAATGCAGCTGGGAAATGCACCGAAAATTCACTGTGAGCAAGTGGGTGCATTTATGACTTTCCTGACACGCGATGGACAATGTCCTGCTGCGTTCTTCAGAGCTTATTGGCTTGCTTTCATTTGCAATTATTGGTAAACACAAATGCTGGTGAGAATGTCACAGCCCCTGGTCTTACACCAACCAGTTAACCAACAGGAACCTGGTTCTAAATCAATCTTTCACTTGTATTTTAAGGGGGAATTATTAAGATGTTAATATGCTGCTACAGAGTCGGGAGGAATGTCTGTAGATATTGAGATGAACCGTAAGATAAGTAAAAAGAAAAGAACTTGCAAGAGGCACTCTGAGGATATTCAGGGGATCATTAGACATAAAGACAGTTCACTAAAGGCCAAGAGTTTTTGTAGCAGGAATAGTCAAAGGACAGCCAAATGTACAGGGATTTATCCTCTGGGGAGCATGAATGAGTTCACGCCTGTTAAAGCCAACATGGTGGACTGACTATCCAAACAGCAGACTTCACTGCAGCCATTAGCACAGTTAAAGAGAACTTCAAATAGAAAAAGACCCAGGAGTCCAAAGGCTGCTGCTAAATATATATAATAAGAAAGAAAGTAATAATGACCAGAAATCACATGTAAACAAAATGTCATCACTGCCTCTCACTCTTTACTGAGCTGTCTGCACCAGAAAGGGGGTGGGGGGGGGACAAAAGATGAATGAAAAAATATAAATGATAAAGGCAGGCAACCAAAGAGATTGAATTTGAGAGTGACTGGGTCATTTCATTAAACTCAGCTTTTTACATCCCTGAGGGCTTAAGTGAAAGCTCATAACACAGATTCACAGCACAGATAGAGCGGAGATATACAATAGACCCTGCAGTCAGGAGCTGGTAGCCCTTCACTGCTGTGTTACTTGATCTAGTGGACCACAATATTGAGACCTGTGGGGTGAAAGCATGAGGAAAATCCTGCATTATGTTTAGGTAGCTGGGACAGTGAAGGTCAAAGTCAAATCAAGTAATATTAAGTTATCGTCAACAATCTGAATTCCTGATAAAAGGAAGTTGTTCCTGAAACAATTTGTTTCTTATTAGTTGAAATTCTTTTTTTAACCATATTATCTTCGTCCGTGTTCTCGTGTGGATCACAGCAGACATTTAGGCGAAGAACATCGCTTCGAGTCGAATTTGAATGTCAGGCCTTACGGACACTTGGATGACACCACAGGAGCAGTATGGAGGCATTCTGTCTTTTTCTTCTGTAGTTCTTTAACGTTTGAAGAATCTGTTGGCTGCAACGCTGAGTATCTCCAACACTTCACCCACCCGTCCATCAGCATAGTGGTGAGTAGATAATGAGTGAATTTTCATTTTTACGTGGACTATCGCTTTAATGTAGCATCTCTAGTGACATACAAACCTCTCTGCCTTATTTCCTCTGTCTCACTTCTGATAAGTGAAAAATAACAGAGTATTGAGGCCCAGGATAACAGACACATAGTCATTGATTGTGATGTGAGGAAAAGCTGAGAAAGAAAAGACATGAGCACAAAGAGAAAGGAGATGAGTGTCAAGGACAAGCTAAAAGGATAGAAGACGAAGGTGTGCATTATTTATCCATTCGAATTATATGCTTGGGATTAATACAAATATTTTCAAAGGATAAGAGCTTATAGAAAAGGAAAAGAAAAGAGAGAAAGAAGGCAGAGAATGATAGCAAATATCATACAGGTGGTTTGTGGAGAGTTATATGGTTTGAAGGTGACCTAGTTAATATTCCTTCTGTGTGGAAACCTAGAAAACACAGTAAATGTGACGTCTGCGACAGACTTCTCACTGGAATGTTTCGGGATACCGCAGCACGAGGTAAGTTATCCCATTAAATATCCTCCAAACCAAAATAAACAAGCCTGAGTATCACTTTTAATTCACACTTACACATGAGAGGATTGTCAGCAACACAAACTGACAACCAGGAGAGCAGCCAAGGTAAATATGACAGATTAAACAAAACACTCCCAAAGCTGTTGAACAGGACGGCTTGTTAGAAAACTGTGAAAATCATGCAAAACCTATTCATCAATCTTTGATCTACACTTCTTTTCCAGGGCAAGTCCTTCACAGTCTCATTTAGAGACAAACAACCATCAACGCTCATTTCAAATGTACTTAAACAAAGATGAAACACTGAAAAGCTTGTGAACGTGATGAATCTTCATGATTAGCCTCAGTTTACTTCCTTATGATTTCTTACTTGTTTGTTTTGTTTCTGTTGATGTTTTCCTAAATCATGAGCTGATATTCAAAGTTGCACAATAATAACTAAGTAAAAGCCTGAGGGGGTGTTGAACACTTTTTAGACACCCTTCATGGCTGAAGCTGCAGATCGGGAACCAAGCACGAACACAAACGTAATCTTGATACATAATTTGTCTGGTTTGGTCTCCGTGCGTGCTGAAATGAAAAATTCAAGATCCAATTTCTGCTCACTTTCTGTGTGGATTACTCACACCCACACAAAAGCCGTCTGGAACACCAGCATAGAGGGCAGCACTCGACCAACACACCGTACAAAGGAAGTACACGCAGTGCAGACAAGCCTTAATCTGACCGGTGCCGTCCTGACTCAAAGTGAAAAACACATCCAGACAGAGAAATCAGGTTTTGAGAGGAATCTGAAATGATAAATTCCAGTCATAGTGTGAGATTACATCAATATACAGTATATGTGTGTGTATATATATATATATATATATATATGAGTGAGTGTGATTCTTTAGTACGAGGAAAACTGGAACTATAGTGACACCATTAAGCAAAGCAACTTTTCATATTTAGAGCATTATCTTTTACGTGTGCTCCTCTCTTCCCTGTTAGTTTTCAGATTTTAACTTAACACGCCAAATTGACACGAATAAGAGACGGAACATTTGTCTCTAACTCAATTTGCAGGTTTAGAGAACATGATAACGTTGGTACTCGGAACAAGAATAAATCATATTTCAGGATTACTCTCATTCATTCACATAAAAAAAACAGTTAATGAAGTAAGGGCGAACACCAAATATTGGAGTCCATGAACATATCCGCTGACACTGTTTCTGTTTGCACTGGCTTTTTTTAAGCAGTGGCACCAGCCCACCCAAATGCACACAGGCACAATTTCAACAATTAATCTGCTCGGTGATTCTGAGCTCTGGAGCAATTGTGTGTATCAGCAGGAAACATAATTGAATCCCAAAATAACTTAGTGCCACCTCCGCCTCCTTCCAAACAGCGGTGGAGGCACTTAAATAAGTACAAGTAGAAAACAAGGGTAGGAGAGATGATGCTGATTACTCGTGTCGCACACAGATAACAGACACATAAAATGCACCACACGCACATCTACGAGCTTCACTGGGGAAGAGAGTGATCAGACTGGAGGTCCTTCAGGAAAGGTTCTGCCGACCCTGACGTTCAGCAGCACTGATGCCTTCAGGGGACATGGTGTGATGGCTTTTAAATGAGAGGAGGGCCGGGAGGGAGCAGCACATCGAGGGAAACATATCTGCCTCTAGCACCAGGGTTACTGACGACACACATCTCACCTTCTATAAAGTCTGCGGTTGCCCGAGCGGAATGTGCGGCCGCCGATAAACTCACTGTTAACAGAGAGAAATGGAAGTCATCATCAGATCTGTGAGAAATGATGTTTTTCAGATGGAGGAAAACAAAGTTAAGGTCGCGGAGCACCACAAGACTCGAGAACAGCTTTGTAGAGTCTCAGAGAGTTTTAGGTGATTTATTCTCCCAACATGTGGTGTTGTCATGCTGGTGATGAACAGAACAGATAACACGTCGGTGCAGATTCTCCCACAGGTGTTA